AATTATAGTTAATTTACTTTGTAATTTCATATAAAAAATAATACAAATTCATTTATGGAGATGTGACTCTCTCTCTCTCTCTCTCTCTCTCTCTCTCTCTCTCTCTCTCTCTCAATCTTGATTTGAAACTTGTGGTGCCTAACGTGGACGTTTCGGCGCAAATGGTTGGTGAGGATATCACATGTTGGACAATGTTTGTTGTATAATATATTAGACCAACGTAACAGTTTAAGTTTTTATTTTTCAGTGTTGTTAGTCAAATCAGTATAATATTAGTGTTGTATATAATATATTGTCGTTATAAATACTTGAAAAATATTTTAGAAAACGTGTTAAGGTAAGTTTTTTGTTATTCGTAAGGGTTATTATATAAGTTGGACGGTAATTAGTAAATCCCCTATTAAATATAGAAAAAGAAGTTAAGTTTTATTTATTATATAACTTTAGTACTAGATAGTTTGTATTTCCTCGTTTTGATTCTCTTACACGTTCACTAAACTATCATTGTGCTCTTCAAAGAGGATATCTATATTATGTCCTTATTTGATGGAAATTTAAATCAAATGTTTAGTAGATTTTGATAAAAGTTGATTAAACGTTTGTTTGGGCTCCGTTAAAAGACAAAATTAGTGAATTCCAATTTCACCCGTACATTATGCCCACGAGTTGGCTTGTGTTGATTTTTTTTGGATTTTTTTTTTTTAAATAAAGGATAAATTGGACCAATTGGGTATAAATGGCATTAGTGATATGTTCCATCTCTTGATGAATGTGCTGTGCAAGATGAATTTTTTAACATTAAAATTACAGTTGTAAAATGTAATTGCTCATTAAAATCTCATTTCAACGACAATCAAACATAGGTTAAATGTATTGTTGAAAAATTGTGGATCGTATAAAATACGTGATTAAAATTAATTATTGATTTTGACTTACAAAATTTAAATTTTAATTTAAATTTTAATTCCTATCAAAGAGGGTATGTGTGAGTAAGTGAATGTGATGGTACAACTCACAAGTTGGAGCCCCATCCCACAGTTTGGTCCCTATACTAGAACCTGCAAAAAGAGAAGAAGCCCATGTGAAAAGTAGCATTTGCTTTTGATTTTGTCACTAGAGTTACCTTAAGAAGAGTGGATACATGGCAAAGTCTCCTTTTTATAACTAATAATTCATTATTCATGTGATGTCTAAGTCTGTATTTTCATGAGTTAGTTCAGCCTCCACTAGTCTTTTTCTACCTCTTAATGTTATGATGAAAAGGCCACATGGTATCACCAGCTCGAATCTCTTTCCTAAAACTCATTTGATTGGAACATGTTTTGGAAGAATTTATAAACGGTTCAAATTATAAATAGATAATAATGAAACGTTGACAAGTGACCGATATTTTTGAGTTCTTCGAAATGTGTAAATAAAAAATAGGAAAAATTGCAACAGCGGTCCCTAACTTTTTCAATTTTTGCAGACTTTACCCTAACTTTTAATTTGTGCTAGTGAATGTCCCTAACCTTTCGACAATATGTAGCAGAGGTCCAATGGATGGAAATCATCCATTGACCATTAGTTGACCAAAAAATTGATTATGACCAAATTTAAAATGGGTAAAATAGTAACTTTACTATTTACCACATTAAATAAACAAACAAAAAAATCAAAATAAATTGAAAAAAAAAGAAAAAAAAAAACAACAAATGTTATCTTCTTTCCAACAACCCCTACCTCCACCCCAACCACGCCCCTAAAAATCCGCAGCCACCACCGTTGGCCAACTTCAACACCACCAATAGCAAATAGAAATGAAGCAAAATGAATAACCTAACAAAAATTGGTTAGCGAAATCTCCCAATGTTGACTCATCTTCCGGCCACTACAATCCAGCAAAATTTGACCACAACAAAACCTGATCACTATATAACCAAATGGTGCAACCTTGACAGCTCTTCAATATTGGTAACCCAATAGATTTTTAGCCCTAAATTTTGATAACCCACCAGTTTCAATGTCGAGAGGGAAAAAAAAAATTCTTCCCATTCCATATTTTGCTTGGCAGATGACATCATTCTCAAAATAGCTTGAGGTATGCACTCATGTTGAATTGATGAAGAACTAATGAGATTTGATTCAAAAAAGGCTTAGTTTCAATTGCCGCCACTTTCGACGGCAATTTTCACCCATTTAATCTTCTTTCGCAACCTTATCATAGGCAAAAGTCTTTAATGCAAAGAAGTAGTACTCTTGTGATTATCAATTATCTTGTTTTTTCATTACCCCCATTTGGTGGCGATGGACGTTTACAATAAGCCAAGAAGTTGTACACGAGAAAGAGCATATCCAGTAGAGTGTGACAAATTAATCTAAACTAGGGTTATAAATAGATCAGATATGGATCAGATCTACCATATCTTCCGATAAGAAATAATTATTCAATCTAATCCGTTTCGATAATCCAACAGATTTTTGATTGTTAAATTCATATCTGATTTGCTAAGCGATTCGATAATCTGATCCGAAATTAAAGAAATTAGAAAAATTAAATTAATGTTAAAATTAATTTTTTTTTTCAAACTTTTTTCAATTTTTAAACGGGTTTAATAATTATAAATTTTTTAACTTTTAGCCAATTGGATTGAAAGATACAAAAAGAATCCATTGTTTGGCTATAGTACGTTGTACCTTTGAGTTGACTATAATACATTGTACCTTTAGTTTGATTGTAGTGTATTGTACATTTGATTTGACTATAGTGTGTTGTACTATTATATGAATAGCTATTTACATTTTATTAAATTAACTATTTTTCCTATCTTTTATTAATCAATAAAAAATTTAAATTCTCCAAATATTTCAATTAGCGCTATCGAATATATTTATTTTGTTAAGTTCTTAAAACTACATTTAGTTGTATGTATTATTAAATAATTTTAGATTGGTTAAAAATTTAAAATAATATTAAAATAAATTTTTTTTTTATGTCTAGGCTTCATCTAGACTCGCCTAACGCGAGATCCCCACGCCTTGCCATGCATTACGCTTTTTAGAATACCGTGTACACGTTGATTGATTTTCTTATTTTTTATGTTTTGAATTTGATATTTTTTATTCTAAATTTTTTTATTTTCTCATTTAATTAATTTAGTGACAAATAATATATCATAAAAATATTTAAGGAAAAATTCATTTCTTCTACTTTATCTTTACC